GCTCCCTCTCCTCACGCTGCCGCTCCCGCGCCCGCTCCTGCGCCGCCCCGCCGCCGCCCTCGCCGCCGCCCTCGCCGCCGCCGCCGCCGCCAGAAACAGCATCGCCAGCGGCCGCGACGGCGGTGCCCGCGGTCGCGGCGCCTGCGGTCACGTCCAGCAGCTTAGTCAACGCCTTATGGGCGAGGCCCAGCAGGCCGGAGGGCGCCTCCAGGCGCACCAAGATGTTGCCCGGGTGCAGGTCTGAGTGGATGAGGTTGTCAACCAGCATCATCTGCAGGGGGTGCAGTGTTGGCCGAAGGGAAAAAATAACGAGGGTTGGTCGAGGGGGTTGGGTGGCCGCGTAAGTGGGTTTCGTTGACCGGGCGGGTGGGCTGGCAGAATGACCTGATCCCTCAAAAGGTTTTTCACATTCACATATGTCCGTCAAGGATACCACGCGCCAGCCGCCCAAAAAAACTGACTGGCGGCCGCCTGGCGGCTGCGCCCCCGGCCCTATGTCTGCCCGACCGTTTGACTTCCATGGGTGGCGATCCATCGGCCCCGCGCCGCGCCGCACCTGCAGCATGGTGCCGCTGCCCAGCTCCGCCAGGCGGTGGCTGTAGGGGTGGGCGTCGCGGGACGCCATGTAGGCAGTGATGTGCCTGCGGGGAACAGGGGGCGGGGTGGGGGTGGGGAAGGGGTAGGGTTGGTTGGGGCGGCGGTTGGGAGTTGTGGAGAGGTGTTTCGAGCTGTGTGGGGTTCTGAGCTTTGTGAAGTTCTGAGAGCCACTGTATGGGATGATAGTTGAGAAACAGGTTGAGGTGAAAGATCCAATGAAATCATGTGTCAAGGGTGACGACCCAAGCAGCTGTAACAGAGCAGCTGCCGAGAAGCTTCCCAAAAGTTGCCCAGCCCTCAACCGCCGCCTGACCCGCCACCACTGGACGCAAACGACACACCAACGTGACCCCATGGCCATCTTACTGCAGCACACAAGAGCCGGGTTGCCGGCTGCCAGCCCACAGCAAAGAGCGCCTGCAGAGTGGAAACTCCCCTTCGGCGGCCCCTCAGCCGGCTGTGCTGCACCCCTGCCCCGGCCGCGGCGCGCACCTGCCGGCCTCAAAGGACTCCACCAGCACGTCTGGCGCCACCAGGGGGTACAATGGTGTCGGGAACGACACCGACCGCGTGTGGCGGAAGTTGCGGTTGAAGCGCGCCAAGTTGCGAGCCTCCCGAGACAGGTCGACCTGGGTTGTGTGGTGCGGCGCGGAGACGGTTGGGGGTGTTGCATGTCGAGCATGCGTGTGGGAGAGGGGTCGAGGCGCGCGAGTGTGTGTGTTGCGTGTGTGTGTGTGAGCTGGTGTGTGCTTGTCTTGAGGTGTGATGCTGGAGAGGGAGCAATGGGGTGAGGTGAGGAAAGGACATGGTAGGTGCTTTGCTGAGGATTCGCGGCTGCCGTCGCGGCCGGCGGCGGCGACGGCGGCTGCGGGTTTGAGCACGCACGGAGAAGCGGGCCCGCGCCCACCTGCTCGTGCAGCGGCGCCTCGAACTGCTTGAGTGTGTCCTCGAGCCGCAGGTCCCGCAGGCTAGGCACCAGCGCCGACGCGGTGTGCGCCAGCCACAGCATGGTGCGGAAGTCACTCTCAATTGCGTCGCACACGTGGGGGTGGCGCACCTGAGGGGGCACGCATGAGCGGAGCGTGGTGCATGGTGCATGCACAGTGTGTGTGTGTGTGTGAGTGTGTGCGTGCGTGTGTGTGTGCGTGTGTGTGTGCCCACACGCATGTGCACCAGGGTCCTGGAGCAATTCTGCAACACCAGCTGTGGTGCCCAGCGCCTGGGCAGTGACCCTGTGATTACTGCGCCAGCGGCTGCTTCGAGGCGCCCACGAGCCAGCCCGCGGGGGTGTCCAGGCTCTGTTGGCCTGGCGAATGCGCCTGTGCAGGACCCTCACCCCCAATTCAACCCCCAAGCCCCTGCCCCCCGCCCCACCTTCACGGCGACCACGCTGCCGGGCGCGCAGCCCGTGAGCGCGGCGCCCTTGGCGCTCAGCCGCGCGCGATGCACCTGCGGCCGCGGGCGCGGCGG